ATACGTCTATGTTAGCACCTGGCTGGGAAGAAGTAGATTGTCAGAAAAGGTTACCCAAAGCTTCGAGGTACACCAATTATAGGCCTGACGCCAATACAACGCCCACTGAACCTCCTCATTGTCTGACTCAATCGATTGTTTAACAATGGCAGGCTCCGTAACACTGGCAACATTGATAACCTCCACTACAGTAATCTTTTAGCCGGGCTGCAGAATAGGATCTATCAGTATTCTGGAACATACTGTGGTTGGTGGCAATCAGCTCATCGGCACCGTGGTATGGCTGACGACCTTGGACATATTTTCTGTCAATAAGAGTTCTAGAAGGTAGGTCATCGGGCCAATACATCCAGTAGACACGTATGTAAATGTGGTGCTCATCAGAACCACGAATCTCGAGGATATGGGCGACCCAGTAATCACCTGGCTTCGTATAATTCGTTTCCTGATTACTTCGAGACTTTTGTTGTTCAACGGTAACTTTGTTGGCAACTTTCACAAAGTGTCCGATGGAGTGCTTGACACCGTTAACTGTCAAAAATTAGTCATAAGCCTCGCAGGTTGCATGAAGGCATGATTTGATCGGGTGCTTACGACGAAAGGTATCGTATGTCTTCAGATCTAGCCATCGCTTTCTGGGCTCGACTGTGTAATATAGATTCATGGGGTTATCAGTCACGGGGCCGCCGGTTGGTGAGAATGGAGAATTCGCGAGTTCAAATCCCGTACCATCATAGCTATCGCGCTTCCGCTTCTGTGCGGCGGCTGAGGGGTCTGTCGCATAAGAGATCATAAAAGGACACTCAGCACATTCATCCCCCTCGACTGATCGCGATCCCTCACCATTACTCATTGTGGTAGTTTGATGCAGCTGGTCGTGGCCGCTAAACAATGTTATATGTGATCAGTTTAATACTGTAGACCGCGGGCGATCGCATTATCGAACACACTTATGCTTATGGGTTGGTCTGTCATGTCATACCAGGGGCCGGCGTGCCACCCAACGACGCGAAGTCCCTGCCTCGTCTGCAGACCCTCGGCTCATGGCTGTCATCCTACTAGGACAAGTAGGTCAGACCTACAAGCCGAAGCGATTTCTATGGGTCCGGGATCAAAAGCGGAGTGACTGTTGAGGGACGGCGGATCAAGGATCAGACGTAGCGTCTGTGCAACATCGCGGGTCACACGATCATTCCGTCATCCGAGTTCGTGAGTGGCGTGTTTCGTAGACTTTTTCAGCGTGGCGATCGAGCTAGCTGAGATGAAGCGACGGATCTGTAAATGGGGCATTTGCACCTCATCATTCCTAGCTTGCTCAATGGCCATCGCGAAAAAGAAGGATGGCACAACAGTGATAAACCTTGAAAGGTCGGGTGTTGATTCTATGGTGCGACGATTTGATGGGAATTGCGTGCCATGTGTTGTGCCTATGATGTTTGAATCTGCATATTCTCCGAGTGACTCAACGATCGTAGTAGATTCTCGCCTTGGAGGCTAAGCTTATCCTGACCTTCATGGTGCCATCCCCCGCTGGGCTACTAGCTTTGTCTAGTCGACTCATCACTCCATCTACACCTCTATGGTCTATGCCAGCTTATGGCATGCGCTTTGTATCTTTCTATCGCCACTCCCAAAAGAAGACCGTTTGACCACGGCCAGTCTTCTCTCACAAAGAGGTAGTCTTGTCAAACTACATAACTGTAGCTGAGACTGCTGACTAGGCTTTGGCCTCGGTGGCTGTTTTGGTACATCGGTTGTGTCATATACCCCACGACCTATGAACAAATCTGTTGTAGTGGACAGATCAAAGCTATTGACGACGATTTACGACGAGAAAGGAACAATCGTGGATATTGTTTACATCCTGGATAACGCTTGGTTTACTAACCTGTCTCGGGATATGCTAAGACGAAAAGAACGAAAAGAACGAAAAGAGATTCAGGACTTGCTAAGGGAAGTCAATTCTTTGCTGTGGATGGTAACACAGCGCTCAGTCTAGACGGAGGTTGACTTGAAACTGGGTGAGGTTCTCGTAGATTCACTCTAGTATCCTAAGAAGGAAAGCAAGATGCCACTAGTGAGCTGAGCAGGGATTCAACATGCAGGGACGATGCGAGCGGCGTCATGCATGAAGGTGCGGGGACGAGAAGGTCATGAGCCTCGGCTCTATACTTCCGACCAAGACTGGGTGGAGCAAATTTGGTTGCGGAAAGTTTTGAAACAAGGGTAAAAGTCTAATTTATTACCGCAGCCGCTGCGCGTGCGAGGAAGATGTTCTGGCGCTAGAGATTGCAGTGGCCAGGATGTCACGTCAAGCGTCGACTTGGTGGCGGGCGGCCGACATTGCAAAGGCGAAGGCGATGTCTCCTTTGGCTGGAGAAAAAGTGTGACCAATTCTTGGTGACTCCTAATCGCCTCGCTTTCCTGTTTGTTGATTACCTTAATACTCCTTCATGACAGCAGGGGATCCAGGCAAAGGACCAATCGCGATTTTCTAGAGCTGTTCATGTTGTCTTTCTTTCACATCCTGAGCTTTTATCGGGCCGTCACTTATTGGGCATGGCTTTAGTAAAGAGGGACGCTCAGTCTCAACTACATTGCCCTCTTTACCAAGACACCAGACAGGTACAACGAGTTATCCTTGTAAAGAGCCAGCCCTTGGAGGTCTCTGTGGCCTGGGTAGTAGGTTCAAAGATTGTTGAGATCGACTCGATTTTCCGCGTGGCAATGGACCCTCTCTAAAGGAGTTACTCTAATAGGAAAACCACGTTTATGCGAGGCACTTGAGTGTCTGATTAAAGCGACACTTTCTATTATAATACATGATCATTTCACGGAACGTCAAATCGCACGAGGAGCTCAGCGGGAGTGCAGGGATGCATGAGCTCAGCAAGGATAGAACGAAGTCTAAAACGAAAGTGTGGGTTGAACATGATCAGGATCAAACTTGTTGTTCTTGTTAGTTCGACATGGGTCCCTGTTGACAAACTCTCCAAGCGAGCTTAGGTACAGAGTCCGATTGGTCAATGGCTGGTCCGCAGCAGGCTGATCGATCTTCTGGTAATTCTTCTTGCCGTTTGCCTGCACCATAGTTTCAACAAGTAGTGATTGGCACGTCTGTTCCTCTGATATTTGCGCGAAGCAGTTGGCTCAAGAGGGTAGTCCAAGCCACTGTACATTACTTTGTTCTCTGACCACTGTGCCGATAAACTCTCCGTTCAGTGCGCTTCTGCGGCGACATCTGGATCTATGAGACATGCTCTGATGTATTACTTACAAACAGGCATGGTAAAGATTACGCGCCAAGATGGCGAAGCCCTCACAGGGCTTGTCTCTGTCTTCTTATGCTGGGCTTGCTAAAAGTTGGTCGATCTGCGAGTGACTCAAGCCCTCATCACTTGCTTGTGACGTGCATGATAAGCATGCGAATCGAGAAACTTGTCCCTCCAATCAGAAAGCCACCGAACACAGCGAACAATCTAATCAATTCAAACTATACATCTTTCCCCAAGCACTACGACAGCTATAATGTTGTGATGCGTAGAATTCGGCTTATTCATGACCCGAGGGACCCCGCACGCAACTTTCTGTCTTATGATCGATAAGCCCTGCTTGAAGTATCGTACCGTTTACACTTCGTCTGGGAGGGTTGACCTACTGTACTGGGCCTATAACCGCAGCCAAGATCTATTGCACCATGCCACACACGCTGCTCACCAGGTGAAGAGTAGAGGCACACCGATCGCGACGTATTTGAAAGCGGACGTCGAAGAGACTGGCCACGAAACGGTCAAGTCAACAATAGAGTTGGTACCTCCGGCCGCTTCTCCCAGTTTCCCAGACGATATTCCATCATATGTCTGATGGAGGCTTTCCTCACGCTCACCCCCACACTCCCCTCCACATCTTTGGACAACGGCGAGAGGCAAATATGAGTTTTACTTTGTATATCCGTAATTTGCCTCTTGCTCATCAGCCCGTTCAAGATACACAGGCCGCACGGGTCTCTGTGATTTGAAATCTTGACGTAACAGATGCCCACAAGCTATTGGACTCTATCCATTGAGGTTTATGTCTGTCCGAAAGCCCATGCCCCTTCAAGACTGTCAAGCTTATTATCAATCTATATTGTCATCGTGATGACATTGTACAAGGGGGTAAGATTAAGAAGTGGTTTCATGGTGATCAGCAAGTAATACGACACAATGCAAACACAAATGTTCGGAGCTTCGACCAGTATGTAGAGTGATACACATCACAAAGGAAAACGATGTAAGTACTTGTAGACGCCTTTTCAATGCTAATGGTGGCCTTTTACCTGAGCAGCTTTCCAAGAACACAACTATAGCCTTCCGTATTGCTGCACGTGTCTTTCTCTACAGCCTGGTTCCTGGGTTCAACCCCAGACAGCCATGCCACATGGACTTGGCCGAGAAGCTGACTACGGTGCTTCAGCATATTCCCTCGGGCCCTCATGGATTTGACCGCAACCTTACTTGGGTCTATCTCATTGGCGGCTCCATCAGCGTTCCTGGTAGCTCATTCCGATCCCTCTTTGAGGATCGCTTGGCTCAACTGGGCGACTCGGCTAAGGTTGGCAACATAGGACGTGTAGCTACCCTCATAGTCGAGGTGTGGTCTCAGAATGACAGACTCTCGGTCCAGAGCACGCCGTACATCCACTGGCGAGATGTCATGGAATCGAAAGGGTGGGACTTTTTGTTTGTCTGAGCACTGCTTTTCGCGAAAGAATAAGAGTTTAGCTTTTGGACACTCACAGGAATTCAAGTAAAGAAATTCACTATTTGGACAGAAAGCCTGTCTTCACTGGAGAAGTTGTATATTATGTATCGCGGCGATTTCTCTCACTTCAACGTCTCTGTGTCCTTAGATAAGAAGATACTTTGCCTCGCCGACAGCATGTTAGAGGAGTATGCCACCTTGAACAGAGATAGGGAAGGACTTTTTTATCTTATCTCAGCCTCTTAGTCAGTTAAGAACAAAACCTGCGCTGTGGACGAGTAAGCTGATTCGTTGAAATCATTTCCCATTGGTTGGCTTCAGCTCGGCCCAAATCAGCCCCATCAACTCCTTCTCTAGACTAGCGGGTTTATCTGAGTATCTCTAAGTTATCCACCGACGGTGACTGAGAACTCTATTTTAGTAAAATGCCAGTCCAATTATTGCCCATGACAACACAGCTCTCAATACAATTGACGGTTGTAGTCGACAAGGACTACCAAAATTTCCAGGGCAGTTAGAGAAATTGAAGTTCAGGTATAGAACTGGTGGTTACAGGGATATAGGTCTTCTCCAAAAGAGCCCGTCGTAGATAAAACCTTTAAAAGCACCATGGTGGTATTGCGCTGCAGGGTAGGTCACCTAATATTCGGCCGTGCTGTGGTGGTTTATTGTTTTGCCAGTATGGAGCTCTAGCCAATCAAAACTTATCCACTAGCCAACTTTTATTGGCCATCCAGATATACCAACTCAGTCCCGTCCTGCAGAAATTGGATGACCTTGAATGGATAAGGGAAGCCGCCTTACTTCACGATACAATCCAATCCATTAAATCCACCACCACTGCGAGTGCTTCCGACTTGATGTTATCCTGGCCAGGTACCGCACTTAAGGCCGACACAGTAGCTTCATCTCTACAATCTACAAACCTACTTCAATCAGTTAACGCGCCGTACTCAGACGCATCCGTCACTCTACATCATTGTAGCATTACCTCCTACCAAGATGATATTATAAAAGGTGCACCCAAACCTCTATTCGCTTCTCTCTACCATATACAACCCCCCTTTCGACAGCCCCACCCTTTCGTCAAGCAAAAAAAAAA